AATGAAATGGAAGCTGGGATTACTATACGTAGGGGATTTTATAGGGTTTAGGGTTTCCTAAAATTATGGGGTACCTTTTTGGGGATCCCCATAATAAGGATTACATATAATATTTTGGGGTCTATATTAGGGTCCCCTTATTTTCGGAAACTACGACATGCAGCTTACAGGTCCTTGTCGCATTGATCCCTCGTCGGTGCAGTAGACACAAAGGTTTTTTCCTGACAAGGACTGAAATGTTGGAGGGTTTGCCCGAAATCTAGCAGGAGAGACTGTGGCTCCAACATTTACTGGGGTTTCTTGTGGTAATATTTAGGGACCTTATCAAGATAGGAAGGATTAAGGCTACATACGAGGCAAAAGGTGGCGAGTGCATCAAAACTTGAAATTTAGGTGGACAGTACGGACGAAACCCAAACCTGAGCCCAAGCTTGGATGTTGGATTCGAGCGGCCCCTTTCTGGAACATTCCATGCCCTCATTCCTCTGAGATGCCTTAGCACTTGAGAGTCCTGCAGCGTAGGCTGCAAAAAGAGGTGATCTTGGTATGGAGCCTGGGGGCTTGCAGAGATCAAGGTGCCAGTGCCCTAACCCCTAAAAAGCAACTCTAGTCTTGTTCAACCATCAAACCAGTTAACCCTGCGGCAATCACATATACAACTGATTTGTGGGTTATTTTGTGCAAGCTTTTGCAGCTGCCTGCTACTGAACTTGGAAGCTCATCCAGCTATCAGGCCTTCCACCTCCTCGTCAGCTGGGTAGCGGCCGGTGGGGAGAAGAAGCCCACCGAAGCCAGCGAGAGCAAGGCCTTTCAGGCCCATGTGGCTCGGGTTCCCGCATACCTCTGGGTCGCTGAGGACTGGGTTCCGGAACAAAAAGTCCGGGGTTCTGCTTGACACAGCTCCGCAAGAAAGATTTGTTGTAGATCTGTAGTAAAGCTCAATGAACAGCAGAGAGAGTTGACAGAGCTACACTTCAAGCCTCAAGCTGTTGGCCACAGCCTGTAGTGTTCGCTACACTAAGGGCATTAGTTTGGGATTGCTTCTCAAGTTCTTACCTGTACGAGCTATAAATGAGAACGACTCTGCAATCAGCTCTCGAAGTAAGAGCAACTGAAGCTAGCATCTGCTTCGGGGAGTTTCGAAGATCTCTGCTTCAAGATTCCTGATGCTTGCTGGCACTTTGATTGGTAGTCTGATGCCTCAAACGCAGCAGCCTTGTCCTGCTGGTAGCTGCAGGATGGCATGAAGGTGCAGGGCTACAATGGAAGCATGGCAACTTGGCCGTGCAAGCAGTAGTGTTTGCAAAGGACCCCTTTTCTGTTTTTCCACCGCTTGCATAGAACCGTTGGGGATGCGAGAACACGTGCAGATACGCGCAACGAGAGTATTTTCAGCAATGCTTTGAGGGCAGTAGACTTTAACTACGTACTAGACCCTGTCACGGCAATCCCTTTCTTGTCGTTGTTTCCAGTTCCGTTGAGGAGGCCACTGCAGCCCAAAAGCTCAGCTTCAGTTGAGACAAGGTTGTTGGCCATGGGCTCTGCAGAGCTGGGCATAAGTTTCCGCATAAGCCCTCATCCTAAGCCCCAATCCTTGAATCATGGCAAGCCCTGACTCCACAGACCTGTTGAGGCTTGGGATACCTCCTTTGCTGTGCAAGCGGTCGTCGAAGCTGGCATGGTGGATGCCTTCGAGGACGTAGACCAACAGGAAAGTTCTTTCGCTTGAAGTCCCTAAGAATCACGACCGAGCATAAGTCTTGAATGAGGTTCCACTACAGGTCAACCCTGGGTAGGAACTGGAGAGATGGTGCAAATGGTGAATCAAACAGGGCTACCAACAGCCTTGCAAGAATCCTGAAGTTAAAAAACGCGGGTGCTTCTAAGAACGGGCCCTACATCTTCCCTACCCAGGAACCCCATGATCCCCTTTCAATCTCGAGAAAGCCTTTAGGATTTGGGGTTGAGGGATTCCTAGATTCAGATTTCTCCCCCTTACTTTGTGGCCTGCAGGACATGAGCCGCAAGGCCATCGGATCCAGTTTTGCCTGAGATGCGGAAGGGTGAAACACGTTTGCTCTATCATTGACTTTGAAGAGCATCAATTAGGTGGAATCCCCCACCCAGTAATAGTGACTATAAGGGATAATAGGGATTATATTCCTATTATACCACTATTACAGGGTGGGGGGTCCTCCTAAAGCATCAATCTGACGCGAGTTCTGTAGATTACACCTAGCAATCACAGTGTGTGTCACCCTTGCCATTACTATTCCATCATCGCAAGCACAGCTTTCCTGCAGAAAGTATTACAGTGAAAGGCATCCGTAGATGTGGCCACAACACGGGTGTAAATCTTGAAAGTAGCCAGGCGGGTCGGGTAAGAACAGATGGTCTTGGCTGGGGCAGACTTGACGTCGGCTTTCCTTGTCTCCTTCAGACAACCAGGACCCTCCTCAAACAGGGGTGCATGGTCCCTAGTGGTGGGTATTTACGTTATATAGAGGGTAAATAGAGTCTAGGAGTTCAACTCGCACGTGACGTTGTCCCTCCTGCTAGCTTGGAGTACCTGGTCGCAGCAACCCCACGCGCTGCGCCCCCACTTTCTTGAGGGGACATTGGCCCCCATGATTACGGACAATATGTCAGTCTAGGTCTGTGGGCGATCTAACGACCTAAAAAAAAAGTAGATCAGCAAACCAACTGATAGTTCTTGGCGAAGAAGGGACCGTTCCACGGCTTAGGGAGCCTAAGCGGCCACCACCAAGGCTCTCCAAGCCTTGCAAGCCTAAACCCTTCACCCTAAACCATGTCAGAGTCCTTACATTATAGGGATTATAAGGAATATATAGGGGTTATATTGGGGTTATATAGGGAATATATAGGGGTTATATTAGGGTTATATTTAGGGATTATAAGGAATATATAGGGGTTATATTAGGGTTATGTTGGGGTTATATAGGGAATATATATATATATATGTATGTGTGTGTGCCGACGGAATCCAGCGGCCCTCAAGGGCCCCTCGTGTACTTGTGACATCACAGTTGGTAGGCTCAAGGGTTTAGATGCAGACGTGTAGACTTTCGGGCTAACGCCCTTTAAGCCCTGCGCAACTTTGGGGGGCTTGGAGTTGGTTAGGGTAACCCTGATCCCTCTAAAGAAAAATAGTGGTGTAGGGTTTAGGGTTTAGTAGGTATGTAGGAGACCCTAAGACCATACTAGGGGCCCAAGGTTCCACTCTAAGATTCCCTCACCTCCTTCCATGCTGAGCCATCAGCTTACTGGTTCTTAGTAGGGAAGAAGGGAACATCTTGTATAGCAATTGCATAGGGATGATGTTCCTTTACTAACCCTAGACCCTAAACCATAAACCCTATCTAATTTTCCCGTGCTCCTACTAACCCTAAACCCTGAAGCGTTAACCCTAAACCAACCCTAAGCCCTAAACCCAAAATTATATTCCCCTATTCCCTACCAAGAGCCAGAAAGTCAGTCAACCCTAAACCCTAAACCCTAAACCCTAAACTAGTAAGTCAGTTCCAAAACATGAAACCCAAATTCGCAGGCCTGGGGATGGCTGGTGAAGGAGCAGGTGCCAGGTTTCTCCCCATAAGAAGGGCTGAGGGTGCTGCATAGAGGGGTTATACAAGGGGTAGAGTGGGGAGATATAGGGGATGTATAGGGTTATATGTATAGGGTTTGGGCAAGTGGGGTTGTACAAGGTATATATATATATGTGTGTGTGTGTATATATGCATATAGATATACAGGGGATATATAGGGGGCATATAGGGGACATTTAGGATTAAGGGTAATGGGTCTAGGGCTGAGGGTCGGGGTTTGGGCTGCTGACCACGTAGCTTGTGTTCGGGAGCCATAACCAGTGTGTATGGCATGTAGACATTCCCAAGACACAGGGGTCAAGATTTTAGGAGGGTTTCTTTGAAGCGGAGGCCTCAGGATATAAACTACTCTGCGACTTCTTTCTTACTGTTCGGGAAACAAAGGCCCATAACTTACCGAAACTTGCATCACCAAGGGGCTCCGCTACTATACTCCAACGACACTTTTCGGCTACATGGCTTAGGAGCTTGTCGCTGTCACCGTCATCCTTCTTGTTGCTAATATTGTTCTCAAAATTATGGCCCCCTTTTCGGTATGAATATAATTGCGGCACCTGATATTCAGTGGTACCAAAATGGGACCCTCCCCGTATGAGTCAGAGCTGGCAGTGCAGCTTGCGATCAAGGTTTGATCTCAACAAAAAAGGGATCTGAAAAATTACATCTCCTAGAAGCATATGGGCAATTTCATAGGGATTTAGTTTATAGAGGTTACTTCTGGGCCCATGTAGGGGATCCATTTTTGCTGATCCTCCCAGGGGCTTGGGCTGTTGTCGTCGTCGGTGACAAAGTATGGGATGATTGCTCAGGGCCAGTGAAATGCCGGGTGAATCAGGCAGGATGCAACTTCTGGTAAGGTTACATCCTAAACCCTAAACTTCCCTAAGCCCGAAATCCTAATCCCTAAACCTTAAATCCTAAGGCCTAATTAATTGGCGCCCGCAATCTGAAACCAAGCCCCCGAAAACCCTATAATTCGTCAATGTGCAGTAGTTTTGATTTGCATATAGTCCCTATAGCGCCATCCCGTCCTTCATAATCTTCATTCACATCCCGTAAGCCTGGGCAATGCCAAGCCCTAAACCCTAAATTCCAAACCCTTAACCTTAGCCCCTAAGATCTAAACGCTAAATGGTGTGGCTCCCGAACGGGCCCTGCAGGTGAGGTGCCTCCCCAATGGAGACTGGCGCCACTTTCGGCAGCCGATTCGGGGTGGCTGGGGATTCAGCATGGGCCCCAGCTGGCTTGTACTCTTTGCAAGTTGGGGCTTTCGGATTTTCGGGTTGAGGCTATGTAGGCATGAAGATTGGAAACTCAGGGTTTTCCATGGCCTTGGGTTGAATATGTTTTCTGAAAAACTAACTTCAGGGAAGTTGTCACATATGCCAAGGTTGACGTATATGTAAGGCTATACGTCGCTTTGGCCCCGCGGAAATGTAGAAGCGCGCAGACGCAAGATACTGAGATACTCACGCAAAGACACATGTTGCAGCTGGGGTGGTCCTGGCTGAACCTATCTGGAGGTTCATGAGTAGTGGCCTTATCATGTAGAAGGACTCCTACTGCGTATCTTACTCCTCCGACTCCCACTCCCACTGCTACTCCCACCACCACCACCACCACCACCACCACCAGCAAAATTGCGCATTGTTTTTCCTGTGACTATCCTTCCTATGACCCAGAAACCAATCTTAAGAGGAAAGTTGAGCTGCGAGGTACAGCGGAACAGGCCTGGCCTGTCTCTGCTACTTGGGCTGTGCTAGAGTTTTAGGGGATAGGGCTTAGGGCCACACGATTTAGGCTTTGGGTTTGGGGTTCAGGGTTTTGGGATTATAGGGATTAGGGTTTGGGATTATGGGGAGTGGGTTTTTGGATTAAGGTTTTGGGATTAAGGATTAGGGAGTTATATGTGAGCTATATAATGTTATATAGGGTGCTTAAGAGGGAGTGGAAAAGAACATGGAAACTGGTATACTATTTAGGGTTTAGGGTTGAGGTGATTGGTGCTGAATGGGGAGCTGGAGATTGACTATAGATGTTATTTGTGGGTCTCCTACCCAAGAGCACCAGTGAGGGGATCAGTGCCTTGCTTTGGGGGAGTTTTTCAAGGGCTCAGAAAGTCAGAGTGATTGAGCTTGGGGCTTTGTGGTCACTAGGCTGATGGGGGCCTTTTCTCAGCAGGTCCCCAGACAAAAGAAGGGACGACGAGGGGCTGCTAAGATGAAATGTGGGAGGAGGAGGTGAAGAGTGTAGAGTGCCTGGCTGAAATTCAGATTTGACCCTTATCCCTAACCCTTATAAACTCTAAAATCTAATCCCTAAACCATAAACGTTTAGTAGTAGGCCACCCAAGCCATGTCTGAGGTGGAGAGATCGTTCTGAGCTTAAGGGCTCCGAGGTCAAGTGCGAAGGTTTGAGGTCGAATTCCAACAACCCTCCTTTTGCTGCGTTCTAGGTAGGGTAGGTGTTTAGTGCTTAGGCCCGAACCCCTAACCCTTAAAATCCCTTCAACAATACTAAGCCGTTGCTTCAATCCCACCACTTCAGGGGCCTTGGCCTCGAACCGAAAAGCTACGTTCCAAACAGCTTGCGCTCTGAATGAACTCTATGCCCTCAACCCCAAATCCCAAGACTCCTTCCTCCAATGGAGGCACCGTGTACTGTATAGCCAAATCTCTGTACACATATAATATATAAATGCATATATATATATATGTGTGTATATATATGTCTATATACAGGCATCCATGTATGTATGAACCATCCATTCGTCCACCCAATTATGCGTATACGCTTACCTATAGGTACAGGTGTTGATGTAGATATATACATACATATAATTGGCTTCATGCATGTAATCCATGTTCTTTTTCCATTATCCCTATGTACCCCCAATAATTCCATTGTCACTTACATTAACCCTATATGGCCCTATATACCCCCAATAAGTCCATTTCTCTTCCATTATCCCTATATACCCTCAACCAGCACATTTTCCCACAGCCCAGACTCCAAGGACACTACCGCAGAGGCCTTTAAGGCGGTACTGCAGCTTCGGAAGTTCTCCAAGATCAGATCTACCGGTTCCTGGGTTCCCTGCGTTTAGGGCCTGGGCTTACGGTTCAGGGATGTGGGGTCAAGGAAAAGGATTTCAGCTTAAGGTTTTGGGCATATGTCTGCGGGCTAAGGACGTAGAGCCTGAGGTCCAAGGCTTTGGGCTTGGGGCTTGGAGCTCAGAGGTTCGGGCTCATGGTTTGGGTTAAATGTTCGTGGTTCAGGGATTAGGGTACCACATTCTGGTTTCCTTTATGGTATGTTTCTGGGTGTCGGAAAACTTGAAGTGCCATGTTCAGAGTAGATTTTCCTGAGGGGCTTACGAAAGGAGATGGCTTCGAGAGCTACCCATGTGTTCCTGGGCTCTGTCGAAAAAGGAGGGAGTGCTACAAGCACATGCTGGTGATTATGGATTCGTTGCAGCATAATGCGACCTACAATGTTACAAGGTGCAGGGAGAACTCCCTTTCGGGAGGCGTTTCGAAACGGACCAGAGCACCATATTACCTCCGGCAGAAGGGGCCTAGCAAGTAGGCAGAGAAAAGCGCAAGTATAACCGGGTAATATCCTACTGTCTCTTGTAGTTTCTGCTGTAGGCAACACTGGTGCTTCGTAATGCAACTTAACCCTGACTATTACTCCTATCATGGACTGTTGCTCGGTGGAAGCAGTAGCCAAGAATGCCTTGCCTACTTAGCCTAGCACATCTATATCTCTATATATAAAAATCTACATATATATGTATATATATACACGCATATCCCTATATGGCCCTTAGGGTACAGTAGCCCAACAAAGAATCCCCGTGAGGTCGGACCATGCCGGACGAGCATCTTTGCGACTCTGTGCAGTTCTTGCTCTCCTACCAGCATCTGGGTTGAATTCCGTGGTGTCTGTAGGGAATATGCGATTACACGGTACGCTAAACTCCTTAAAGGGGGATAATTACTACTATAGGGGTTATTGAGGGGGGGGGGGTACTAGGAGTTTGGACTATGGCTCACATGATGATGAGGTATACGCGCATGCACTATAATGGGTTTATACGGCATTATATAGAAGTAGTTTTGCACGGTAGGTTGTGAACATATGCTCCCCGATCAGGTCCCCACTAGAACACGGACCCTAATATCCAGGGTACATGAAAAGGGGCCGTAATGGTGACAACCTACGATTTAGTTTATAAGGGCAGAACGCAGCGACTACACGCAACCTAACTTGTTGGGATTATTGTGGACGCCGATCCGTCTCTGCCATCCTTCCGCGATTTGGAATGTCCACGAGACTTGTTTTCAGACACCCCTTGCTGTACAGCACCTAAGACTTCGGGGTGCAGACATGCGGCACCCCGTTATTTATCAAGTATTTGAAACCAAAGCCATCTGGGTGTCTGTAAATTTCCTGAAGGGCGGACATTCTAGTCTAGTCCTGCGAAAGTAGGTGGAACCCATTTAATTAGTAGATTTCTTCAAGTGCGGGGATGCTCGCCCTGTCAAAGTAAGTGGAGTCCAGGGGATGTATAGAGTCTGTTGCCTTTCCCATTTTTGTACTAAAAGAATGATGGTCTGGGATTCTGAGCTTAGGGATTGGGGCTTGGAGGATTTAGTAGTAGGAAGATTCAAGTAACCCAGCACCTATATGAAGGACCCCGAAAGGGTCACGGAAGTCAGGAAGTCCGTTTGTGGGGGCTGTGGTTGCAATGTCATCTTATGCACGGTACTAGGGTTAAGGGTTTGGGGTACACTTCGTCGAACCCATGTGAATATGAAAACTCCAGTTGTTATGCGATTTTCCACTGGATTCTTCGTTCGTGTACTTGTGAATGCTGTTCCTATACACGCGCAGATAGACCAGGTTCCATTTTATGCTTCATGTGCTTGTCCATTTCTCCAGTAATCATAGAGGATTCCATTCTTTAAATAGAGTCTCGGACCCTCAGCCATTCAAGGCCAGGCCCGGGTGGTACTGGACGTACTTGCGGGAGTGTTATGTCTGAGCTACTTAGTAGCTTGATTCCAGAGTCATGCGCTTGTAAGTAAAGTGCCTTCAAGAAACGGAACTTTGCACCCCTGCACTTGCACCTTATGCTGTCTTACTTTTTTGGAACACTTTAGCCGGATCTACTTTTTAAGCCCCGCCAGGACTGGGGCCATTTCTGTCAAACAGCAACCCTAAGTAAGGTTCCACGCATTGCATAGTTGAAGCTTCTTGGCATGGGGGGATGCGGACTGCCTTGTGCTACCTCAGCCTAGGAACAATGATGGTGGCTGGGCGACTTACGAGAACAATCGGGGCTGGAAGTGGTACGAGCTCATGAACCCATCAGAGGCTCAATTAAGTAATCTGTTGGGCTAAATGGTAGTTTCCCAAAATTAGGGGTACCCTTTTGGGGGTCCCAATAATAAGGATTATAGTATTTTGCGGTCTATACTACCAAATGGTTCCTTGAGGTTGAAGGGGCAACAGCTGCTTCAAGAGGGTTTAGGAGGTTTAGGGGTTTAGGGTTTAGGGGTTTAGGGTTTAGGGGTTTAGGGTTTAGGGGTTTAGGGTTTAAGGTTTAGGGTTGAAGGGCTTGAGGGCCAAAACAGGGGTCCGCGCGCGCACCAAGTCCGTCAATACACCCATGGAGTTGTGCCCAAAATCATGATGTTCATCTTGGAGCAGCTAGTTTCAGATATTCGTTGCGAGACATGTAGCGACCCTAAGTTGGGCCCATGCCCCTGTTCTGTCAGATGTAACTTCAAAGGCCGGGCATTTATAGCCATGTAGAAGCTTCAGGGGTGGATTTCCAATGCTATCGCTTGAGATCGAAGCACTTCGGGTTTGAAGAAATTTCCCCTTGTATGTAGTCTTCACGGAATTTTCCTCAAATGTGTAGGCGTTTCTTATGAATGCCCCAAATCCAGTCTTGGCTGGCGAGATCCGGGTCATCATATGGGTCGGGGCTTGGAATGTTATACTGCCGCCGGATGTACTTGTAAGCAGCTGGCATTGACAGCGGCACGGATGTTCATTTTGGTAGTCATAGGGAGCATAGGCGCAACGCCTAATAGCAAACAAATAGTCGCAAGACTGGCAATACAACAGGTTTTTGGGGACATCATGATTGACTACTCCTATGTGGAGTGCAGCTCATCCGCTATGCAGGCGGGCTCAACAGTTTTCTGGCATCAGCTTTGGTTGCTGCTGGGGTTTGTGTGACAGAGCAGTATTAGCATGTGGCTACATATGTGTTTCTCGCCATATCTATTAGGGGTCCCTATGGGTCATGATTTGCTCCCCCCGCCCCCAATGTTTGAGAAATTTCCATGTTTGTCAACATCCCTACCTAGCTATAAGACTGTTTGTATCAGATGCTGATAACAGCTAAAAAAAAGCATTCGGAAACGCTCCACGAACCAGTAACTTCCTGACTGGCAACCGACGGGGGCCAGCCTTCATACCTCTCCAACATGTTTGACACTAGCTAAGGCTTTATGATGTTTCAGGGCTTGTGATATCTTGTTACCCTAAACCCTAAGCCTGTCTTGTTCTAAGCCGTACTTGGTGCAGTTCCGGTGTTCCTCGTAGCAGCTCCAGCAGCTAGTTTGAGGTTTAGGTTACAAAGGTTATATATGTGGTATGTTGGGTTTATGGTTTAGGGTTGGGGTTAAAAAAGGATAATGGACAATAAAATGGAACCTACTATAGTCTTAAAATCGGATACATATATACATATATGTATAGATATATAGGGGTTATATACGGATAATGGGAAATAAAATGGAAACTACTAGTCTTATAATCGGATATATATATATATAGATATATAGGGGGTTATATAGGGATAATGGAAAACAACATGGAAACTGCTATTTAGGGTTTTGGGTGTAGGTACTTTCGGAGGATGCACGACGGGTTGCACGAAACCCTCAGAAGGTCCTGGGATCTGCAGCTTGAAGGATATAGCCCCCTACAATCTAGATAGGATATGGGGTATATTATTGGGGTTATATAGGGAGAATGGAAAAGAAGATGGAAACTACCATATTCTAATAAGGTATATGTATATATACATATTAGGGTTATAGTCCCCCTTAAGTAGATAGAATATGGCTTTGCGTATATTACAATAAGATCCCCATATACCCCATAGTCTTTCTACTTAAGGTCGATTGTGTGTTTGCCAAAGCCTTGTGCCGCCACCACCACCGCCGCCAACATTACCACTACCACCAAAACTTCACACGAGTAGTATTTTATTTGTGGATATTAT